AGGGCCTGAGGTTCCCTACTATTGGAAAAAAATGTGAATGTTCCTCTCCACTAGCTGTGTTTTGGCAAAAACAGTCGAGTAAGTACTGAGCTCGAACATAGACAGCTGCTGTATGATATCAAGATTGAGATCCCACTCGAACTTGCTTGCCTTCCTGCCTTCATCCATCACGCTCTCAGGGGAATACCGGTCCAACTCTAGGAATTTTCGGACATATTCTGGTATAGTCATGTCACCCTAGATCAAGTGTGTAAACTCCATTTTCTTCAGATGTTGGAGATGCTCTGGGAGGTACTTTGCATTAAAGGCCACCAAGAATTGTTCTCAAGTGACTGAAATGAGCAAGGTGGCTTGCTTGAGTTACCACCAGCGGCCTGCCTCTCCCACCAGTATGTAGGTGGCAAGTATGACCTTTTATTTAGAAATTACCCCAAGAGTCGTGAAAGCCTTATCTATATTAGCTAATTAGTACTCAGTTTCTCCAAAGGAGGATCCACTTGTAAAAGTAGATGGGTTTAGTCTTTTATACCTCTCAATATAGTCTGGGTCCATGTGGGAGGAACTGGGTCCTGTGGAAGAGGGACTAGATTGTGCTGGGGATGGACCAGATGACCCTGTGGTGGTACTGGATAATACGGTGAAGGCACCAGATTGTACTGTAGTGGTGCGGGGTGATGCAGTTGGGGCACCGAGCTATACTGTAGTGGTGCCGGGTAGTACTGTGGTTGGGGCACCGCATCATACTGTGATGGTGTCGGATGGTACTATGGAGGAGCAGAGTCGTACTAGAGTGGCTGAGAATCTTCCCGCTGCCGGGGTGGCTCAACTTGTGGTAAGGGGGATGGTCAGGTAGCTCCCTCCTTTCCTCTCAGGCCTGCTGGGCAGCAATGAGTCTCTCCAGCTTTTAAAATAATCGGTCAACATCCTCTCGAAGTGAACTCTCCCGAGCTATTCTGTTTAGTGGGAGTCTTCATCTCCTCATTTATCTGTACCTGCATTTTATAAGGAATGGTTGAGTGATAATTCATTCTTTGGTGTTTCCTAGGGTTTTTGTGTAAGGAATGGTTCCGAAGAACGCGACTATGATTTCAACTGTAACGGTCCGGAACTTGAAATGAAATAAATTATAAACTAAATTCGAAAGCGAAATAATAGCTTTAGGGTTTACATTCCTTACACAATAATTCAGAATACCCAATAGAGTTACGGAAATGACCATTCTAAAAAAACAACGAATAATTAAAAAAATAAATAAAAAGTAAACAACTGAACATCCTATTCGCAACCCTTTTGTGGATCGGGATCTGGATCTAGATCTTGTTCCTCTTGATCTGAAATGGTTAATGAAAGAGTGAGTTACACTAGCCCAGCAAGAATGTCACACTACTCATTAA